TAACAACAATATATAAGAGATATGAAATATGAAATACAGAATACGAAATACGAAATAGATGGCCGGTATAATACAACTAGAAGGTAAAGCCTTGCGTCAATAGACGACCAATGACATTCCTAGTTTAACTCCTAACTGGATAGTCTCACTCTATTGTGCCGTAGAAATATTCACACTCTCCCCTAACCTACAATATATATATATATATATATATACTACAAGAAAATATATAAGAGAATATATATACATAAGATACAATATAATATACNACCCGCAAAGCCCACGAGCCCGGCCCGTTAAGCACAAGACCATGTGGGCTTAGGCCCGTCACGGGCCGGTTCCACCCATTGAGCCCACGAAGACCGGGACCGCCAGGCCCGGGACCGCCAGAGCCCGGGACCACGAAGCCCGGGACCGCGAGGCCCGGCCCGTTAGGCCCACTAAGGCCCGGCCCGTTAGGCCCACTAAGGCCCGGGCCCGGGCCAGAATACAGCATTAGTTTCTAAGAACTGTACAATCTGCACACTTGTAAGTGTAGGGTAAGGTTGATGTGTGTTATCTTACATTATAGTTTCAGTTATTTTTCACCTTAACGTGAGGTGATTTATGTGGAGTAACAGTTGCTTTACGTGCCTTACTGACTTGGTCCATCTTTTGGACATGCATTCATGCAATCTATCAGAACGTGCAATCAAGGAACGTGAAGAAAAAATAGACGAATTGGGCAGGAATCTTTATCTATAGACTATAGGCGATGGCAGCTGCGTACTCACCAAAGTTGAAAAATCTGACCTATCCATAAATTTTCTCGACTTAACAAGAAAATTCATGTGATGCGGAACATTAGATCACTTTATATACTTTCAAAGAGGATCTTATTTTCAAGCTTATATTAATTGACTTACGACGTACTAGGGTGTAATATGTAAAATGTCTCGCCTTACGCCCAAGCCCTTTAAAACACTGGTCACAACCTTGCTTTGCCCGGCCTTAGTACATTTAACATGGTTTGTTTGCAAACACAACGAATAGAGGCATTTCTTTCATTAAAATCAAGAATCCAATTGATATGGGAAAAATACCACAATAGCAAATGTGCTTGAATTAACGGATACAAACTTCAAACATGAATAGAATTTGGAAACAAGGAGTCAAAACTAAAAACTACAAACTTAAATTAAACAATAACAAATCACTCTTCAATTTACTTGGACATGGATTGTACTGAGGGAGCTTGATTTATTTGCTGGTTCCCATACTGCTGCTGAGAAAGTATGCCATTCCAACCTGCAGTAAGTTTTACACACACATGTTAAAAAATTGTTTGCTTCTCTTTAAATGTTACTTGTAATATGCACATAGGCAAATCTAGGACGCAAAGGCATGTTTATGTGCAGAGGCGGATCCAGGATTTCAGAAGGATGGGTGCACCACTATCCGACCACCGTTTGATTTGGTTCTCTAAAACTTACCTTGGAGAACTATCAATAATAGCATCATTATTTATAGTTACAAGTACTAAAGCTCAATATATTTAAAATTAAATAACTAATCAAAAAGAGAGTGATAAATGAAAAAAGAGGAAATTTGAAATTGAAAAGATTCAAAATGATTTAAATTTTATTTTTTATAGTTTTCGAAACTCAATGATTGAACTAAAAAATAGAATGAAGAAAACACAGAAAAGAATCCAATAAAAATAAAAATTTAATTCAAGGATATATCAAAGGGTGAACCCAAAAACATAAGAATTGCATGGGAGAAAAAGAAAAGAAAAGAAAGATAGGGCATGAAATTTGAACAGAACAGAAAAGAAAAGAACGAAAAAGAGAAATAGAAAAGGAAAAGAAAAATGGATAAGAGATGGAAAATATAGAAGCGAGATTTGAACACTGGACCTAGGGGTCAATGACGCACAAAGCTACCACTACACCAAATGCTCTTTTGACCATGGGTTCCCACGCGAAAAATTAAATACTTTATCTGAAAAACATCCCTGTGATATACAGCCTAAGGAGGGGAGCATGGGTGCACGTGACTCATGCCCCTCCACGTGGTTCTGCCTCTGTTTATGTGAAGGAGCATGGTGCACGTAAACTCATATTTCTCTTTGTATACTATGTATAATAATGTTATGTTTCTTAAAATCTAGTACTAAAATATAAATGTGGGCACCCAAGCTCAAAAAGTCCTATGGTGCAATCATATTAGGTGCACCTTTTTAAGTGTAGTTCGGGGTTCAAATCTCTATATTTTTAGGCATGTCTAGTGTACCCTTTTGTGTTTTAATTAAGCAGTACTTTTTTTTTCTTCTGTTCTATTTAGTTTATTGTTCTATTTAGTTTATTGATTCAAAATCTCTAAATCTAACAATACTTGTTCTCCTTTTGTCCTCGCAAAATCTTATATAGTTAAACCAAATATCTATTATAAAACTCATAGCAGTGGATGATGTAGCATATAGTCAACAAGTACAATAATTTCAATATTTTTTATATAGAGTGTAAGTATGTATATTAAAAATCACTAAAATTACAAGAAATTTTTTAATTTACCTGTAATTTCTAAATGATAATGAATTTATGATAAGAACTCAAAAGATTGAACCGTAAAATTTTTAAATTCACCTCTTTGTAATAGTGCACCATATTCTTGAAATCCTAGATCCGCCTCTATTAGGACGGGTTATGTGGATTCAAGTGAACCAGTATTTTCAACCTGAATTATGTATAATGAAAAGCATCCAAAATGCATATGCATAATTAGAACACATTCATTTTGACTTCACTGGGAACATGACTCTAGTTCCTAGATTGGCCTGTGACTAAGTAGAACCATAATAGGAAGGATGATTTCATACCTAGAGCTGGATCAAGTCCCCTAATCCGAAGCTCTCTGAACTCTTGACAAAGTGAACAACATGGACAAAAGATGTGAGAAACTACATCTGAATAGGGAGCTTCCACCAGATTGTACCTCTGCCTCAGTTTTGTTCTATACTTAGAGCCCAAGACCCATTGAGAGCAAACAGCAGGCATCATCAAGAGGTACATGAAAGTCCCCAATGGACAGGCTGCAACCACCATCCAGAAATCATAAAGAGTTAATTACACACTTCTTTTACAAGGCAATTGAACAGAATTCAAATGGATTTTTAAGAGGATTTAATTACTTGTTTCTCCTGCATCTAGAACTTCAGCTATCTGCCCGAATGTCAAACAAGGTAAAAATGATGTCGTTGTAGCTGCACACAAACAAGAATGTTAATATCGCTATTACTTCCGCCAGATAAAGAGAGATTAATATTCTTTCCAGGAAGTTCTGTTTTTTTTTTTTGCTTCAGCCTTCGGACATCCGGTACTCATTGGTCCGACCAATCCAAACTCGTGCTTTAAAAGTCCACTATGGAGTAATTAGCGCTTCCTACCAAAAAGAACCCCATTCCTAGGACTCGAACTGAGGCATCTGGTTAAGCTATGAGGAATCCTTATCATTCCACCATACCCTATGGCAGAGGAAGTTTTACGATGATATACTACTCCATTGTAAGACTTGATTGACATTAAGATTATACATGCAACAACAACAAACCCAGTGTAATCCCACAAATGGGGTCTGGGGATAGTAGTGCATATGCAGACCTTACCCCTACCTTCAAGAAGGAGGAGAGGCTGTTTCCGAAACTAAGATTATACATGGTAAAGGAGAAAAGTGTAAATAATTTACCATTAGTTTGGTCCAAATGACAATCAAATAAGCCAGTGCTCCATGGAGCTCCTGTTGGTGTTGGTGTGTGTACAGCTCCTTGGTACTTTGCAGGATACGAGGCAGCTGGCACATCGGCCACTGGCTGAGGACTTTCAACTTCATTAGAGGAATCAATTCTACCCATTGTATCTTAAGCTTTGGAGTCTGAGTAAGAAGAAGAGAAATGAAGTCCATATATATTTTGAAGGATTTGGTCATATACTTGATAAGCAAGAAAAAAGCTTACGTAGACTTTGAAAAACTAATCGATTAGACACTTCAAATCCGCTGTAGTCAATGGCACTCACCATAATTATACTACCATTTAGACTTTTATCTAATCACCGAATTGGAAAAGGATTTCCATTGTATTGATTTCGAATCAACACTATGCTATTACTATAATCTTTAAAGCCAAGTTGGCTAAGGTCACATGCAACTAGCCGATTTTTCTGGGCAAGTGCACACTGGAAAGTCGTTGCTATGATTAAGTCAATTAGTCTTTGTTTTGCTCATTTTATAATTTAGAGATGAGCAAGAAACTGCGACTACATTCTTTTTTCAACTTCTTTCTAACACTCCGTAGCGTGAATGTGAATAACTTCAATATCTCCGTAGTAGTTGAAAGACCAACAGCATCTAGAGATTGCGATTAAATGCTGGTTATACAAAAGTCAACTTCTGATAGAGGAGATTATTTTGCAGTTAAGAGGAATGGAAGACAAATGGAATAATATATACTAAGATACTCTATCACAAACCACCATGTTAGCAGCATTATTGTGAAGTCAGCTCATGATCAATTTGTACCTTTTGTACAATAAGATGTCGATCACTTATTTCAGGTATATACCCTGAGAAAAATGTGTAATCACAATGACCAATTCAAACACGCCAATGCAAAATGACATGGATAGGGTGGCATCTCGACTAGCTGGCAGTTTGAGATATTACAGCAGAAAAATAGACTACAAGTTATGGTAGGTTAAAGAAACTTTCACTGCTGAAACCATTTACTCCACCAACTGGAGGACGAAGTTCCTCCAGGAGGTGGTGTGAGGACTTCGAGCATAGTTTCCTTCTCCTTTGGCGTTAATGGGACTCCTCGAACGAGATTCAGAGCCATAATGTGCACGTTAGTCTTCTGCCTGTGCTTCTTGTAAGCCCACATGCCTCCAGCAGCCCCAGCAACTAGTAGCTGTGTCAAAAAAAAATTCAAACAAATTTAGCACCTCTGTCTATTAAAATATAATTTTTGAAAGAGCAAGGCAGAGGTAGAGAGCAAACTTTAACTGACCGGAGAGAGCCATAAAGCAGCCGTCTGCATATCAAATTTNATTCAAACAAATTTAGCACCTCTGTCTATTAAAATATAATTTTTGAAAGAGCAAGGCAGAGGTAGAGAGCAAACTTTAACTGACCGGAGAGAGCC